CATCTGAATAGTAACCGAAGGATGGGTGCAGTATCCCATGTGATTTAAAACCATGGGAAGGCAACTCCACAACAGTTTTGAGCTCTTGTTGAGTATTTATAGATGAGTATAACCCAGAACCACTGGGTTGTAATCTAACTAAAAACTTAATATAAAAACCAACAGAAGAAAAAGCAGTCAAGTCTCATTAAAACTAAACCAGCAAAAGAAAAATGTAGTGACAGGAAACCAGGAAGTTAACCAATGAGAGAGCATGAGGTCTTATGATAGTCTTTAAAAATGTTTTTATTTTTCCTTTTTATTGAATTTATTGGGGTGATACTGATTAACAAAATTACAGTGCATGATTCTACAACATGTCGTCTGTACCCTGTGTTGTGTGTTCACTACCCCAAGTCAAGTCTCCTTCCATCACCATTTTTCCCCCCATGCCCTTCCCCTTGCTCTTTGTCTTCCCTTCCTGCAATCACCACACTGTTGTCTGTGTCCATTAGTTTTTTCTCTTTAAACAATGTTTTGTTTTTAAATAGAAGTTAGTATAATCCCATTTTCCATAAGTTTTTGCCGACATTTTAAAGGATATCTTTTGTGTATATATGTGTGCATATGTCTACATAAATGAATACATAGACATACATCATATATTCACTATAGAAAAAGTCACTTAATAAGATGAATAAAAAGAATGAACTATATGTTATCATCTATGAGAATTAACTACTTAAAACAGGGATTTGAGTGATAAGTATTCCAGGTGTGAATTGACCATACTATGTTTAACTCACTGATTTTCAGTAAGAACACAGATGCGTGGGATGTCCCTGAGACCCTCATTCTGTAGATGGGGCCCTGGCGTCTGTATTTTTAAGAAGCTCTGCAGCCAGGTTAGGAATTACTAATCAGGAGTTCTCCATGTTCCACACAGTTGATACATTTGTAGTATCAAGGCCAAGAAAATAATCATATGGAGGCCAGGGAGAGGGGGTAATAGAGAGCAACTGCTTAATGGTTTTCTTATGGTATGAATAAATATTTTGAAACTAGATAAAGGTAGTGGTTGTACAACATTGTGAATATAGTGTCACTGAAGTATTTGCTGAAATGTTTTATTTTTTTAAATATTTATTTATTTTTAGAGAGAGGGAAAGGGAAGGAGAAAGAGTGGGAGAGAAACGTCAAGTGTTTGCCTTGATGTGGTTGCCCCTCATGTGTCTAATACTGGGGACCTGGCCTGCAACCCAGGCATGTGCCCTGACTGGGAATTGAACTGGCAACCCTTTGCTTCACAGGCTTGTGCTCAATCCACTGAGCTACACCAGTCAGGGCCTGAATGTTTTATTTTATAGTATGTGAGTTTCACCTCAGTAAAAGTACCATGTAAGAAAGAATCATGTGAACACTATCTTTGTTGTTGCATTGGAAAAATCAGTTATCTGTATTTAGGTTGACTACCTTCTGAATATTTTCTCTTAAGACTTTTCTCTTAAATTAAGCACATTTTTATTGTTTATAATATGCATCTTATCAGCAGCACTTTTTCAAAGGTGCTTAGTAATATTTTCTCCTTAATTAAAACACCATTACTCTTTTATGATTGTCTCAGAGGGGTGTCTAACCCGTGGCCAATGGGCCACATGTGGCCCAGGTTGGCTGTGAGTGCAGCCCAACACAAAATCGTAAATTTACTTGAAACCTTTTTTTGCTCATCAGTTTTTGTCAGTGTTTGTGTATTTAATGTGTGGCCCAAGACAACAATTATTCTTCCGTTGTGGCCCAGAGACACCTAAAGGTTGGACACCCCTGGTACAGCCTTAGGTGGCAGCAGAAGGAACCCTGCACTTGGAATCAGAATACTTGGGGTTGGAAGTCCAGCTCTGTCCTGTCCCCTGAGACTTGGCTTCCTGGTCTGTTTTTCTGCCCTTCTATCCCACACTTGTTGGGGGATTCACTGAAATCATTTATATTGAACACTTCTATATGTCCTTGTTATGTAGTTATCATTTTGCTTTTTAAGGATTCAGCAAAAGCCTGCAATGGGTTGAAGAAGGTACTAGTAGACAGTAAATAAATTATTGAATTTATTATTAATGTGTTATTACAGTCTATAATTTACAGTGTTAATCTTTATATTAGTTATGAACTTATTAAGGCTAAGAATTAGTTTGTTACAGAAAACAACTCAGCCGCTTTCCGGTGTACAGAGTGGAGCTTTATTTTACACGCGCGGACCCCTAGGAGTCAATCTCCAAATTCTGGGCCCCATCAGTGGAGAACAATTGTCTATATAGGGTGAGGGGCGGTCTGCCACTCGGACTGTTTTCTGGCGCAAAAGCAAGAAAGCAAGAAAGCGGAGCTGCTGATAAGAGTTAATATGAATTTCTTTGTTCTTACTCTTCAGTTACATAGTTACTTGCTCTCCCTGATCCTGTTGACTCAGCTGTGATCCCCCTCCTGGGCAGGGTATTAGCCATTACATTCATCCTATTGATTCAGTGGCTAGCTCTCCTCCTGGGCAGGCCACTACAAGTTAAGTACAGATATTAAATGTTTTCAGAGATAATAGGGAGATAAATTTTTAGGGACAGGGCTTGTTCTTGATACAGAAATATATATAGCATGATTTTCTAGTTCCATGCTTAGGGAGCTTTCTGCCTCACTCATTTGTAACCATTCTGAATTTGCCTAATGTCCACAAGTGAGGAATAGCTATTGGTAGATCTATTTAGTGTCCCCTTTGGATTCCTTGCATTTTCTCTTAGTTTAAGCCCCTTGACTTGTTAAAAACTGACAATTTTGTCAATAGTGACTTATGGTAGGCCTCTCCTGAGAAGTGTAGACTTGGGAAGTTCCTAAAACATGCAAAGTAAAAACATTGGGCATATTTTTTGCCAGTAATGAGCCTAATAAATTAGAAATTTTATTTTAAACCAACAATAGTTATACTTGATAGTATGTATACAGAAGTGTGTTAACTTATATATATTACCTGTTAATGGACCTGAGGCCATATTTACCAACATTTATAAAACAGCAGAACATATAATGACTGTGGGGGCAACTTCTCCACAAGTGCCCCTGAGTGCCATGGACGAAAGTTAATGTGGCTGAGACAAGATGAGATCTGCTTAGGTGAGGAGAAGTGAGCTGTGGCCAGTTTCTCAGGGCAGACAAAGGCCAGCAATGGCCAGTTTCTCTGAGGAGAAAAAGGCCCCAAGCCCTTTTGCTCCATAGCCTTTTATTGGGTTGTAATACACAGGAATACAGGGTGGCAAGGATCAAACAGTAGATAACATTTCAAAGAAATCTGAGGGCTTTAGAGTCTGTCAGGAAGAGAGTTGCAGAAACTTTGGGAGACATACTCATTTCCTCTCAGACCCTTATCATATGAATGAAAGCACTCGTAGCAGAGCAGATTTCACAGGTTTATCAGGAAGTCTTTGTGATGCCAAATTTTTCCCCAGGACATGCTCTAGCAGTCAAAGAGCTGCACCTCTCCCCAACAGGTATTCAGGCTTAAGGGGATTAGAGCCAGGAAGCACTGCTCCCAGAGAACATGGGGACTCAGGCTATGTCAAAGCCGGGGGTTGGGGGGGGTGGGGGGGTGGCGAGAGTCCATTGCTCTTTGTGGCAGCCCCTCCCCCCCAGTCCTTCCATGAAGGCCTCCCAAGTGATTGAGTCTGGCTTAGGTTGCCCCCCACTGTGAGGGGTCTTACCCATCATTGACTTCCGACCAAGCTTTGGGGGCAGGGAGAGGAAACTGAGGCAGCATTTGCTACCAGAGACAAGCTTTGTCTCCTGCAGCTCGCATTCCAAAGGTCATCCCTCGCCCTTAGCCACAAGGGATCTAGATACAGTTCCTAAAACCAGGCAGAGCTGTCTACAACAGGGGACCTGGCTGCAGTAGGCATGTGAATGTATCTCGCAGTGCAACCTGACCTGACCTACTAAGGGAAAGGAGGATGGAAGCATTTGTTGAATGTCTTTTGTGCTAGTTTAAAATTGTGTATTTAGCCCTGGCGGCTGTGGCTCAGTGGATTGAGTGCCAGCCTGCAAACTGAAGGGTCAGTGGTTCTAGGGCACGTGTGTGGGTTGTGGGCCAGGTCCCCAGTATGTGGTGTGCAAGAGGCAACCAAACATTGATGTTTCTTTCTCTTTCTTCTACCTCTCTTCCCGTCTCTAAAAATAAATAAATAAATAAAATAAAAAATTATATATTTAGTCTCCTAAATAGGTCTAATAGCTAGGTATTTTATTTAGCTTAGTGAATAAAAGTATGGGTTCTACCCCTGGTTGGTTTTGTTGGCTGCTGTGATGATGATGATGGTGGTGGTGGTGGTGGTGATGTTGTTGTTAATGAAGAAAAAACCTGTAAGTTAACTTCCCTTGAAAAGAGCTGTTGTGGCTCTGACCCCAGAGTTTGCCTCTTTCTGTCACACCAAGCTGCCTTCCAGCTATTACATAATATGAGTAAGAGAAGAGAATCAACCTTTACAGAGTGTAAAGTAAGAAATATATTTTGGTAATTTTAAGTAATTGTCATGTTAGCTTGTGACACTGGATTGCAGCTTTTTTTTTTCCTCCAGTGCACCCGAGGGACTTCTGTGCCTCCCAAGAGTGACCTACGAAGACAGTGACAAATAGCAAATACTGAAGAACAGATTTAAGATAAAATAGACTACCCATACCAAGAAAATAGCCTCCATTGTGCTATACTGAACATATCCACACATATCAAAGTATCAGTACTCTGGATTACTTAAGGCTTGAATGAGAATTAGGCAACTGATAAAGAGAGAATAGTAGTTGCCGATTTGGGGTTCAGTAGATAGGGATGCTTTGCTTTATTGAGGCAAGGTTCCTATCCCAGACTTGTTGGGCATTGTTGCAGGGGAGTTTCAGTGATAGCATCTGATATCACTCTCCAAATGAAACAAAACTTTAAGGGAGAAACTGCCTATGTGAGAAGTTCTAACTTTGAAACATCTTTCTTTTGTTCCTAGGAAAAATCCTGTTGGTGGCCCTATTTCTGTGAACCAAAGGAGAAGGGACACTGGTGAGAATGTCAGCTCTCAATTGGAAGCCTTTTGTGTATGGGGGTTTGGCCTCCATTACAGCTGAATGCGGTAAGGAGCCCAAGTGCTGGGGTCCGGTCAATTTACCCGCTGTGTGTGACAGTGATTAAAACCTAAGTTCATGATTGGTGCTTGTGAATGTAGTTCAAGCACAGACTGGGAGAGTGTAAAACATTAACTTCAGAATTGAAAATTTCCATCTTTTGGTATGCGTTTTTAGACAAAATAGTCGTTTTGGTTGCTTATTGGCATTTTAGAGTTCAAAGTTTAATGGGGAGAAAGTTGAACCCATTGACCAAACAGAAGTTTTATGAATCATTTTTGAATTATATCAGTCTCTACCCTTAACACATTTGACTATAAAGAAATTTGAGGAGCTCCAAGGTCTTCTCTGAGCCAAATTCAATTGTCTATCATTATGCTGTCACTTTCTGATAATGCACATGATCTATATTCTATTTGTGACTTCTTCATTGCTTGAGGTCCTATTAATTCTTTTGTTTATTCTCTGGGATCATTCATTCAACAAATACTGATGGAACAGCTGCTAGAGTGCCAGGTGCTGGGTGGGACACTTCATTTGCTCCCAGGGCTCAGTCATTGCTGTCCTGGGAAGAAGGCTGCCCCTGAGGAGCTAGTGAGGACTGGTGCCCAGAGGTTGAGGCACATTAACCACCCACCCATGTTCCTTGTGCGGGTGGGCTTGCCTATTTTCAAAATAAATCATGTTTACTGAGTATGAGTTTCAAATAGTTGGGTGGATTATCTCTTAGGCTGTACATGAAACTCTTTACTTGCATTGACAGATTTGCTTTTTTTAAATTTTATTTTATTGATTATGCCATTACAGTTGTTCTATTCCCCCCCTTCATTCCCCTCCACCCTGCATCCCCCTGCCCCCACCATTCCCCCCTTTAGTTTATGACCATGTGTTTCAAGTTCTTTAGATTCTATATTTCCCACACTATTCTTGCCCTCCCCCGTATTTTCTACCTACCGTCTATGCTACTTATTTTCTGTACCTTCTCTCCCTCCCCTGTTGCTAACCCTCCTTGAGATCTTCATTTCTATGTTTCTGCTCCTGATCTAGCTGTCCTCTTAGTTTGCTTTTGTTTTAGGTGTGGCTGTTAATAACTGTGAGTTTGCTGTCCTTTCACTATTCATCTTTTTTATCTTCTTTTTCTTAGATAAGTCCCTTTAACATTTCATATAATAAGGGCTTGGTAATGATGAACTCCTTGAATTTGATCTTATCTGAGAAGCACTTTATCTGTCCTTCCATTCTAAATGAAAGTTTTGCCGGATAGAGTAATCTTGGTTGTAGGTCTTTGGATTTCATGGCTTGGAATATCTCTTTCCAGCCCTTTCTTGCCTGTAAGGTCTCTTTTGAGAAATCCACTAACAGTCTGATGGGAACTCCTTTGTGAGTGACTGACCCCTTATCTCTCGCTGCTTCTAGGATTCTCTCCTTCATTTTCATCTTGGCTAATGTAATTATGATGTGCCTTGGTGTGTTTCTTCTTGGGTCCAACTTCTTTGGGACTCTCTGAGCTTCCTGGATTTCCTGGAAGTCTATTGCCTTTGCCAGATTGGGGAAGTTCTCCTTTATTATTTGTTCCAATAAATTTTCCACTGGTGGCTGTTCTTTTCCCCCTTCTGGTACCCCTATAATTCAGATGTTGGAGCATTTAAAGATGTCCTGGAGGTTCCTAAGCCTCTCCTCATTTTTTTGAATTCTTGTGTCTTCATTCTTTTCTGTTTGGTCATTTTTTTCCTCCTTCTGGTCTACTCCTTTGATTTGAGTCCCAGTTTCCTTTCCATCACTATTGGTTTCCCGTGCATTTCCCTTCATTTCAATTAGTTTAGCCTTCATATGCTCCTCTAATTTGTGACTAAAATCAACCAGTTCTGTGAGCATCCTGATCACCAGTGTTTTGAACTGTGCATCTGAAAGTTTGGCTATTTCTTCATCGCTTAGAGTTATGGAGTCTGGGGCTTCGAGATCTTCTTGAGCCATGTTTTGGTCTGTTTGCGCCTGTTAAGTATGAGGAGTGGAGCCTTAGGTGTTCACCAGGGCAGGGCTACCCAGGTCGCTGGGTTGTTGACAGATTTGCTTTTAGACTATAGAACACAAAGTAAGAAACTCCTTAGAAATTAACTAATCTCTCTTCATTCATAATGAACCCAATTTTAGCCTTCACATGTGTAAAAAATAACTTATATTTTAAAATGGATTTTCTGGTTGTCAAAATCAATTCATGTATCTACTTTTTACAGCAGTGCAGTTTCCTCAAATCCTATGTAGAATAAATAAAAATGTAAAGAAAGGAAAATATATTTTTGCCTTTTTTTGTTATTTTGCTTTTTTGTTCCCTTTTTTAAATAGAAAAAAGATGGCAAAGTATGTATTTCTTAGTTCACATTATAGTTTATGTGTCTCTTCAATAATATGTCACTACGTATCCTTAGTGAGATTTCTTTTTATTAAGTGAAATATTTCTTTAAAATTTTAAGGTACATTTCCAATTGATTTAACCAAGACACGGCTCCAGATTCAAGGCCAGACGAATGATGGAAACTTTAAAGAAATTAGGTACCGAGGAATGTTGCACGCGTTAGTGAGGATAGGCAGGGAAGAAGGCCTGAAGGCTTTGTATTCTGGGTAAGTGACCTTTATATGTTTATATTTTACTGCTGACCTTTCAAATGAAAGTCTTTCAGACTAAGACTTCATAAAGAAAAAAGTAAAAGTTTGAGGTGTATTTAAAAAGAGCAAGTAACATGGTAGATTTTTTATTTTTAATGTCAACTTTTTTGTATTTATATGTGTTTTATATAGTGAATGTTATGGTGAAACCATGTTTTTATTCAAATACAGATAACAACATAAAATTACTTTCACTTTTTAAAGAATCCTGTAATTTAGTTTTTTACTCTGAAAATAGCTCAGTCAGAGTCCCTGCAAGAAACAGAATTCATTTGGGTGATTTAAATGAACAGAGATTAATGAAGGGACTACTTAAGGGAACAAATGAAGGATACTGAGGGATCTAAAAACTAGCAAAGTAAGAAACTGTTACCAAGCCAAGGATGGGAATAGTTTAGCAGAGTAGGCCAGGGCTGGAGCCCTGAAGTAGCTGTCAAGATATGCTTTGGTAGTGCTTAGGGAGAGGAAGAAGTCTCCTCTACTTCTTTCTCCTCGCTTTCTCTCTCCCTCCCATTTTCTGTAGGCTGAATGTACCTGAAAGTTAGCTGGCAGAGGAGACTGGGTGATGTAGTCCATAGGCACCAGCCTCTCAGGACACAGAGTATAACAGAGAAGGGTGAGAATAAATCTGGGAGGACAAACAGGGATCAGCAGCAGCACATTGTCCTAAAGAAACTGTTTCCCAGGGGGCCGCAGACGAGTATGCAGGGATTACAGTGGAGTCTGATAAGTACTAGAATTCTGGTAGAAGTAGAAGTCCCTGACACTGGGGATGAGGGAGGAGGGGGCTTTCAGGAAAGCTGCTCAATTCAGGAGATACCAGCTTTTGAAGGATCAAGAGGAGGAGTTAGCCAGGTGAAGTTAGAGAGGAACTATGTTCCCATAGAACTAGTAGTCCGTGCAAGAGACCATGGTGCATTCTAGAAAATGCAAGTAATTCAGAGTGGACATAGTGTGGGATTTAGTGAATAGCAAGAGATGGACTTGGGAGTACTAATAAGGGGTTACAACATGGACATCCTTAGGTCATGCTAAGCACCTTGATTTTGTCCCAAACTGGTGCCTCACAGCCCTCCCACTCACCAGTCTCTGAAGGATTTTGTTTTTCAATTGAGCTAATACTTTAAATATGAGAAACTGCACATAAAAACCCGAGATTCAGTCTTCTCAGACAAAACATTTGGGCCCCTGTTCATTCACTTAGGATAAATAGTAACTGCAGTTAATGCTGTCCTTGACTTACCAAAACTTCTACCACTCACATGGTGTATGTGTGTACTTAGATACAGCCCGTTGTACTCACTATGACTTCTATCTAGTACCTGTAAGTACTTGAGTTTGCCATACTTGTGGCAGACAGGAGCCACTACAGGGTTTTGACTACAGCAACTGTCATGATTAGGTTTCACTATAAAAAGATGCCTGCTTGCCATGGGGAGAAAGAATTAGAGACTAGTAACACTAGAAGCAGGTCATCAGGTAGGAAGCAGAGTTCACAAGGATCTGACCTGAGGAGTTGTCCTGGAGATAGAAAGAAGACAGTCTAGAAAGCTATTTAGGGCATAGGATTGGTATATTATTTGATCTAATATATGAGGGGGGTTCTGGGGAAGGAGGAGACATGGCTAATGTCTCGATTTCTGGTTTTGGCCATTGTTTAGATGGAAGTTTCATTCTCTGGTCTAGGAAACAGAAGAGCAGAGGTGATCGTTTACACAGGGAAGATAATTAGTTCAGTGTAGGTAGGTAGAGTGTAGTATATGTGAATTGAAAAATTAGAGTTGGAAATGTATCTTTGGATCAGTGTTGGAAACGTGAATTTAGGAATCATCAGTTAAAGCCGTGGGAATAGACACACTCACCCAGGCAGTGTGTGGAGCAACAAGAAATGAAAGCATAGGACAGATTCTGGGAAATCCTAGAGGACAGACGTAGGATGATACAGAGGAAAGAAATGGGAGAGGGCTATGTTTTGGCAGCTCAGGGAGGAGTAAAGTACAAATAGCAAAATGCTGCAAGGTGTTATATAAGATGCTAATTGAAAAGCATCATTTAATTTAGTAACAATGATATCAGTTGGCCACCTATTTTGATGGAGGAGGTTAAGGGGAGCCAGATTGCAATTTGAGAAGGAAATGGGAAGTGCAGAAAGAGTTGGGGCGTACACATGCCACAGGGTGGTTCAGGTAGGTTAATGGGAGAGAGACAATATAATTGAAACAGGGCCCCCAAGGAGGTAGGAGGTGAGCTCTAGAACACCACTGCAAGAATGATAAATGCTTCCAAAGGCCACCTTTCACCAGGTACTTTATAATGAGAAAGGAAAGTATTTTCATTTTAACATAAGTGGGCAGATAGTACCACATGTTCACTTAATTTTAGTGAGAATAAATATGCTTTCACTTACCAAAGTAATACTTTGCTCAAGTATTTATTTCCTATTTTGATTATTCCTATATATATTTTTTGAACTGTGTTTTTTGATGGATTTTTAATTTTAAGACACCTGTTTTAGTGTAGTTTGTGGAAAGCAAATGGATGATTGTATCTCTGCCTGTGGATCTTGTAGAAGATTTTAAGTGATGTTTAGAATTATTTTGTTCCTTTGTACATTGGTTTGACAGAATTGCCCCTGCGATGTTACGCCAAGCTTCCTATGGCACCATCAAGATAGGTACCTACCAGAGCTTGAAGCGATTATTTGTTGAACGCCCAGAAGGTCAGTGGAGAATTTTTTTTTCTACTTGTAGACAGGAGGGGGGTTGTCTTCTTTTTAACATATTTTATTTATTTATTTTTAGAGAGAGGGAGGGAGAAAGAGAGGGAGAGAAACATTACTGTGTGGCTGCCTCTCACACACCCCCACAACTGGAGACTTGGCCTACAACCCAGGCATGTGCCCTGATTGGGAATTGAACTGGTAAACCTTTGGTTCTCAGGCCAGCACTCAACCCCCTATGCCACACCAGCCAGGGCTGTTTGTCTTTTTTATCCAAATGGTTTTGTATCAAATTTTTTTCAGCTTACTTATGATTTTATTGCTGTTCAGGAGAATTCTAAGTGTAAAGTTTAAATGAATTGTGTTTATAGCAAATCAGTTATCAGCTGAATTTAGGGGGTGTAACAATTAAAAAGGAGCAAACATTTTAATTAGTTATACTCATTTCTAAAATGCTTGTAATAGAGGATATGCTGTTACAGTTCCAGCCAACTTAAAATTTTATAAAATCATAGGAATTATCACCTGTATTTCAGAAAAGCAGCCCTGGCTGGTGCAGCTCAGTGGATTGAGTGCTGGCTTGCGAACCCAAGGGTCGCTGGTTCGATTTCCAGTCAGGGCACATGCCTGGGTTGTGGGCCAGGTCCCTGGTTGGGGCGTGTGAGAGGCAAGATATTTCATACATTGATGTTTCTCTCTCTTTCTTTCTTTCTTTTTTTTAAAGATAGAGGGGAGGGGAAGGAGAGAGGGAGAGAAACATCAGTGTACGGTTGCTTCTGGTGCATCCCGTGCTGGGAACTGGCCTGCAACCCAGGCTGTGCCCTGACTGGGAATTGAACCGCGATCGTCTGCTTTGCAGACCTGCGCTCAATCCACTGAGCTACACCAGCCAGGTTCTCTCCCTTTCTTTCTCCTTCCCTTCCCCTCTCTCTGGAAATAAATAAGTAAAAAATTTAAAAAGCAGTGAATACATTTCTTCATAGTAAGAACTGAGTTCCTATACTCTATTGCTGGCTGACTCTGTGACTTTGCTTTAATCCATAGAATCTTACCTTTTTTTTACAAAGGGGCAAGCACCAGTAAACTATTATGTGAGAGTAGTGAACAGGAGCTACAATGCTTTGAAAGTGCTTCATTGTACTTCAAATTAAATATATAAGATGTGCTTTAAAACTTTGTTTTCATATTACCTCATAGGAGTTTGTCTTTTTTTATTCTCCTGCCAGACATACCTTATCCTAATAATGATCTTCATTTACACACATAAGTGAATTGGTAGATGGTTATTCACTTTGCCTGATAATTCACGTTCCTTTTTATATTACAAGAAATTTTGCTAAGTAAAATTACTTTAGCTAGCAAAATTCCAAATCTTTTTAAAGTTACTTGACTCAAAGTATAAGTTTATTCCCTTAAGAGGAACAAGTGGTATGTGAGTTGTAACTGTACTTAGGTTATTCACATGAAGAGCTCTTTATGTATGAAAAGTGAGCTAATTAATGTCTTTGTTTACAGATGAAAACCTTCTGATAAATGTGGTATGTGGAATTCTCTCTGGAGTCATATCCTCAGCCATTGCCAATCCAACTGATGTTTTGAAAGTAAGCAGTGCTCCTTATATCTTTTAGGCACAATCTATATTTTCTTATTGAGAGCAACATTCAGATAATGAAAATCTGTGAACGTATCATATACTCTGTGTGTGTTTATAATTAAGTTTTGTGAAAACTCTTATTTCCTACTGATACAGATGAGCTCAAAAGTAGAGTTCATTTTAGAGATGAGTTTTTTGGTGATTAAGCAGAAAAAAATTAAGCTTGGATGTATTTGTATTTTTCATTGAAAATCTTGTTTTGTTGGTCTGTTAAAAATAGATGAGCTTCAAGTTTTATAGAAGTGTGCTTATTAATGACCTTTTCTGAACATATTATGTTATCCGTTAATTCAATTTCAGAAAATACTGATGGGAGTACTTACTTAACCACATTTAGACATAATGTATTAGATTGCCTTGTTGATAATACCAGGGATTACAGTCATCTTAAATCCTTTTTGGAATAATGGGGGGGGATAAACTAATTAAATAAAATGAAAATTAGGCACAAGTTACTTCTTGAACCCTCTCACATATTCCTTTCTCCCCTCCTCTCCTTTTTTTTTGTATTATTTAACCACAGTTCACTATGCTTCTACCTTGTACCAGCTGGAGTACTATTAGTGTTTAGAATCCAAATGAGTAAGACAAAGACTGTGCCCTGAGAGACCCTTCCATCTGGTAGGAGATTCTGAGAAGCATCACAGTTTTATGCAGCAGCATGTTGAGTGCACCGTAGCTATGCACGGTAAAGGTACAACATGTGTGAAGGCACTGTTACTATAATTTTACCTGTGTTGGGGTAAGATTGCTAGAGAAAAACATCCATACTTCTGTTAATCTCCTAATCATATATTAGGGCTATAAAAAGATTATTCCTGTATGTATTTTGGTTTATTTTCACATGTCAGCATGTAATAAGAGTTTCCTTTAAGAAATTAGAGTGATGTGATATATCTGGTCAAGATGGAGGCATAGGTAGACATGCTTTGTCTACTTGTACAACCACAGAGAGATTATAACTATTTCTCAAAACAAATAACTTCAGAAAATAGAGCTGTATGGAACCCAACAACCAAAGATTTAAAGAGGCCACATTCATCCAGATGGGTAGGAGGGTCAGAGCCACAGAGATGCTGTGTGGTGTGGTGGCAGCAGTGGCAGCAGAATAGGTGGTTCCACATTTGTGTATGTTGGATAAAACTCGGGAGGGAATACCTTGGGAGCAAGTGATCCCAGACCCAGGCCAGACCACACAGCCCAGTGTTCCAGCACCAGAAAGATAAATCCCTGTAACTTCTGGCTGTAGAAATCAGTGGGGGTTGGTGAGGTGAAGTAAATGGCCAAATTTTCAGGAGAGTCCATTTAAACAGCACACACGGACTTAGAATGTACACAAACCCACCCACTCTGGGATTCGCTACCAGGGCAACAGCTGGAAGGGTGCCAGTCGCACACAAGAAGTAGGTGAAGTCCCTAGAAACAGGGCGAGTGCTGGGCAAACCTCCAGAAGCCAGGCAGTGGCATTGTTCTGTCTCCAAGGCCTCCCCCAACACAGAGCTGAAAAGTGGTTAAGTGGGTTCCCCTGCCCTGGCAATTACCTAAGGCTTTGCCCCACAAATTTACAAGTGCCTTCTACAGTGAGTCAAAGGAGCTCTACCTAATACACAGAAACAAACACAGAAATATGTATTTTTGATGAATTGAGGAGGCAAGGAAATATGACCCAAGTGAAAGAACAGAATAAAACCCAGACAAAGAACTAAATGAAACTGAGATAACATACCAGATGCAGAGTCCAAGACACTGGTGATCAGGATGCTCTAAGAAGTCACTGAGTAAAGGAAAAACATAAGGGAAGAAATGAAGGTTACACTGAGTGAAATAAAAATCTACATGGAACCAGCAGTGGAGAGGATGAAGTGAGACTCAAATAATTTGGAACACAAGGAAGGAAAAAGCATTCAATAAGAACACCAGGAAGAAAAAAGGATTAAAAAAATGAGGATAGGCTTAGGAACCTCTGGGACAACTTTAAACATACCAACATCTGAATCATAGAGGTGCCAGAAGAAGAAGAGAAAGAGCAAGAAATTGAAAGCTTGAAAAAATTAAGAAAGAAAGCTTCCCTAGTTTGGTGAAGGAAATAGACATATAAGTTCAGGAATCACAGAGAGTCCCAAAAAAGTTGGACTCGAAGAGGATCACACCAAGATACATCATGATTAAAATGCCAAAGGTTAAAGATAAGGAGAGAATCTTAAAAGCAGAAAGAGAAAAGCAGTCAGTTGCCTACAAAGGAGTGCCCATAAGGCTATCAGTGTATTTCTCAAAAGAAACTTTGCAGGCAAAAATGGGCTGGCAAGAGGTATTTTTAAATAAGCACATACAGCCTAGATTACTCTATCCAGCAAAGCTATCATTTAGAATTGAAGGACAGATAAAGTGTTTCCCAGATAAGGCAAAACTAAAGGAATTCATTGTCACCAAGCCATTAGTAAATGAAATGTTAAAGGGACTGATATAAGGAAAATAAGGAAATCAAAACTGAAGACTAAAAGGGCAACAGATTCACAACTATCAACAACTAAATCTAAAAAAAAAAAAGACCCAACAAACTAAGCAAACAACCAGAACAGGAACGGAATCATAGATATGAAGATCATTTGGAGGGTTGTCTGCTGGGAGGGGGAAGGAGGGCAATGGAAGAATAGGTGCAGGGCTTATGAAGCATAATTGGTAGGTACAAAATAGAAGGGAATGTCAAGAATGGTATAGGAAGTGCAGAAGTCAAAGAACTTAAATGCACAAGCCATGGACATGAACTAAGGGCAGAGATTACTGTAGGGAAGGGGGTACTAGGAGGAGGGGGGCAAAAGGGAAAAATTGGGACAACTGTAATAGTATAATCAATAAATTATATTAAAAAAAAGAAATTACAATGAAGTAATTTCTCCCTAAACCAAAATAAGGTACCAGTTCTTTAGTGAGAATTGTCTTTTCTTTCTTAAAAATGCGGAGATCTATGTCAGACATTATTTTTATGTTGGAATTTGGTCCTGTGAATATTATAGCACTGTAAAGTTCATTGATAAGTTCAAGCGTAACAGACTGTGATGGGCATCATGTGGCAGTCCTGTGGCTAATCGCCTCCATACCTTTTGGTTCAGCTGGTTGGAAATAATAGTGAGCTGGAGTAACTAATTAAAGAAATATCCTTGTTCATGCTAGGTGTTGCCAAGTACACTGGATATTCTTATTAATATGTTAAATGTTTAGAATTACCATCATATTCTCTCTTTTCTGCTTAGTAACCTATAGGGAAAAATACCATGTTCTTTCCTTTTCAAAGACTATTTTTAAAAAATTAATTTCTTTTTGATACTTAATGAGCTATTATGTGTAAGACATTCTAGACTTAATTAGATGTTTTTTGTTTAATCCAAAGTGTGTAAGAACCAGTCCATATATATTTTTAGTCTACTGAGGATATTTTCAACTAGTATTATAGTAATATTTATAATTATAGTTTGTTTTTTTTAATGATTGTTAAACAACAGATTAAATGAATTTTAGAGATCTGTGTTTGGGGAGAAATGTGCTAGTTTTCTTCTCATATTAGTCTTTAAAATAATCTCCAGATAATGTTAGTCTTTGATATATATCAATCTAGATACGGATGCAAGCACAAAGCAACACCATTCAAGGAGGAATGATAGACAACTTCATTAACATTTACCAGCAAGAGGGAACGAGAGGACTGTGGAAGGTAATCTTGAATAGGGATCCAACTGACTTAGTTGTTCCCTTTTGAATTTATCTTTCCTATGTGCATCATTTTATTTAATCCAAGTGGTATAATGGAGTAGGGGAAGAAGAGTGTTATCTGCCCTTGAAAATATTTTTTTGTAAAGTGGAAATATAAGGAATATGTCATGATTTGAAAGTACCTTCTGAATACTTCATATATAAGAAATTCTGTGAAGATTGAGCACTTTGATTGCATTTTTTTTTTTGCTTTAAAAAATTCTCATTGAGAAGGGGGTTCTAGGTCACCTGATGTGACCTAGAACACATGATGTATGTGGTTCCATGCCTATTAAGAGGAGGCTGTTACTAGTGATTTTTTAGAATTCTGATGACACATCAGTTTATAAAACAGTCCCTAAAGGTAACCCACACAATCCTCTCTGTATGTGCAAAAAAACTGGAGGCTCTGAGAGGTGACTTATTCTGGTCAAGTTTTCACAGTTAGTGATAAAATCAGAATCTGACTTTGGAGCTTCTGACTTTTTAGTCTGTTCTTTTCTACTTTGTCACTGTATATTTCTACCTACCAGCAGGAAAACATAAATATTGGCCATAGTTTGTGGAGTTGAACTTTTGCTCATCTGCAGGGCTTCTTCTGTGGAGAGATATCTGAATCATTATGTTTTCATTCAGGGTGTATCCCTTACTGCTCAGAGGGCTGCTATTGTTGTTGGTGTGGAGCTACCAGTCTATGACCTCACCAAGAAGCATCTCATTCTCTCAGGCCTGATGGGAGACACTGTGTATACTCACTTCCTGTACGTGTATGGATTTTTAAATTAATATTTTGGGTATACGCAAGTTTAGGGTGGAAATTTGCTACAAATTTATAGAAACTTTAAAGAAAGCTTACTATAAAAGTATTATATTGTTATTACTTGAAAAATTACATTACAGAAATGAACCAGGAAAAGGTAAAAGTCCTTATCCCTTTACATAGGTAGCAATTGTTCACAGTTTTATAAATACCTTCCAGGTGTTTCCTATGCATATGCAAATACGTCTACAAAAGCATATTACATATACTTTGTTACACAAAGATTATGCTTTGTATTCCCTTTCTTGTTTTTTATTAGTGCTATTTGTCTGCTTTTATTAAGGTACAATTGACAAGTAAAATTGAAAGATATAAAGTGTACAGCATAATGATTTGATATATATACATTGTGAAAAGATTCTTTCCATCATGTTGGTATATTTATCACCTCACATATTTACCCTTTTGTGAGTGTGTGTGAAAACATAAGTTCTACTCACTTAGCAGATTTCAATTATATAATGCAGTTTTATCAACTATAGTCACCATGTTGCACATTAGATTGTCAGACCTTACTCATCTTATGACTGAAAGTTTGTACTCTACTGTTTCCCTGTTTCCCCCACCCCCTCACCCCTGGCAGCCACTTTTCTACTTTTTGTTTCCATGAGTTGGACTAGTTTTTGTTTGTTTTTAGATTCCATGTATGAGTAATACCATGCAGTATTTGTCTTTCTCACATGGTTTTTACAGTTTAATGCTGTATTCCAAATGTCTTTCCATATCAGTATAGACTTCATTTATTTTTAATAGCTGCAGATTAGTATGGATGTATATCATAGTTTAATCCATTGAGCAGCAATTTGCCCCTTAAGGACATTTGGCAGTTTCTGGAGACTGTAGGAAGTAGTATTCACAGATGCTGGGTAGAGGCCAGGGAGCTGCTAAACATCTTACAGCAGGACAGACCTATACAACAAAGAATTACCTGGTTCAAAATCTTTTTAAAAAGACATATTTTATTGATTATGCTATTACTGTTGTCCCATTTCCTCCCCTTCATTCCCCTGCACATCATCTCCCATCCACATTCCCCACCTTTAGTTCATGTTCAAGTGTCATAAGTTTTTTAGCTTCTACATTTCCCATACTATTCTTGCCCTCCCTTTGTCTATTTTCTACCTATCATCTATGCTACTTTTTCTTTGCACCTTTTCCCCCTCTCTCCTCCTTCCACTCCCCTGTTGCTAATTTCTCCATTACTATCTCCATTGATCTCCATTTCTGTGGTTCTGTTCCTGTTCTAGTTGTTTGCTTAGTTTGTTTTTGTTTTTGTTCTTGTTTTAGGTGTGGTTGTTAATAACTGTGAGTTTCTGTCCTTACACTGTTCATATTTTTTATCTTCTTTTTCTTTGATAAGTCCCTTTACCATTTCATATAATAAGGGCTTGCTGATGATGAACTCCTTCAACTTGACCTTATCTGAGAAACACTTTATCTGCCCTTCCATTCTAAATGAAAGCTTTGCTGGATACAGCAATCTTGGATGTAGGTCATTGCCGTTTATGACTTGGAATACTTCTTTCCAGCCCCTTCTTGCCTGCAAGATCTCTTTTGAGAAATGAGCTGACAGTCTGATGGGAACTCCTTTGTAGGTCTCCTTATCTCTTGCTGCTTCTAGGATCTTCTTCTTCATTTTAATCTTGAGTAATGTACTTATGTGCATTGGTGTGTTCCTCGTTGGGTCCAACTTCTTTGGGACTCTCTGAGCTTCCTGGACTTCCTAGAAGTCTATTGCCTTTGCCAGATTGGGGAAGTTCTCCTTCATTATTTGTTCAAATTAGTTTTCAATTTCTTGCTCTTCCTCTTCTCCTTCTGGTACCTCTATAATTTGGATGTTGGAACATTTAAAGATGTTCTGGAGGTTCCTAAGCCTCTCCTCATGTTTTTGAATTCTTGTTTCTTCATTCTTTTCTGTTTGGTTGTTTCTTTCTTTTTTCTGGTCCACTTCGTGGATTTGAGTCCCAGTTTTCTTTCCATCACTGTTGGTTCCCTGTGCATTTTCTTTTATTTTACTTAGTGTAGCTTTCATTTTTTCATCTAATTTGTGACCAAATCAACTAATTCTGTGAACATCCTGATCACCAGTGCTTTGAACTGTGCATCTGATAGGTTGGCTATCTCTTCATTGCTTAGTTGTATTTGCTCTGGAGTTTTGATCTGTTCTTCCATTTGGGCCATTTTTTTTGTCTTGACTCGCCTGTTATGTAGTGAGGGGCGGAGCCTTAGATGTTCACCAGGGTGGGACAACCCAGTCCCTGGGTTGTGACGCTGTATGTGGGGCAGGGGTCCAAGAGGGAACAATGGCACTTGCTCCACTCTCTGCCAGATTTTAGTCACTTACCCTGCTTCCCACAAGCAAATCAGGCCCTTCTGGTGCTGATTCCCATGGGAGTGGGCTTGTTTACATTCTAGGACCCTGTGGGTCTCTCCAATGAACTCTCCTGTGAGGCTGGGAGTTTCTCCTGACACCTCAACTCCCACAGGTGTTTTCAGTAGGTGTTTTGAAGCTCTATTTCCCCCATGCTGGGATCCTGGGTTCAGCGACCTGTCTTGCTCCCCAGTTTCACCTGGTTTATCTGCATGCAAATGTGGGACCACCACACGGTCAGCCAGCTATCTTGTGCACAGTGCCCAGCTTCACAATCGTCACCTTGCTGGGTCTGCCTGTTGCCACCCTGCACCCAGGGTCTGCCAGCCGCTGCCTCCGTGCCCAGGGTCCGCCCTCTGCTGACTTGCTGCCTGGTATCACTGCTTTTTTGTGCTGCAACCCCTCTTTACTTGGCTGCCTGACTCTGCCCCTCTTACTGGTCTGGCTGAATGTGTCTACTTTAACTCCTTGATTGTCGTACTTCCATACAGTTCAATTTTCTGTCAATTCTGGTTGTTATTTTGTTTCTAAATAATTGTTCTTATTTTGGCTGTGCGAGGAGGCACAGTGTGTCTACCTACACCTCCATCTTGGCTGGAAGTCTGGTTCAAAATCTTAATAGTGCTGAAGTTGAGAAATGCTGCTGTGAGTTAATTGAAACCAAGCGTGATGTATGCAGTCTTATCAGACTGAAAGTTTAGTAGAACCTAAAGACCCTGGTGGGCATTTCAGAATGGAAATCTTCTCTGATCTATGATATGCCTAAAGTTACTATGATGTCTACTTGTAGGTGAATAGATATAATAGATCAGTAATTTTTCAACCATTGTCAGGAACACTAACCTCTTTTCCCTAAAATTGTCAAACAAAAAAATGACAATAGCCAACACAACAATAGCTATCTGGTGTGAATGAATAAAAACCAAACCTAATTTTTTGTCAGATTGGCAAAAAGTATATTTTTTGTTGTGCTGTAGAATTTTAGGTGCAGCCTGTGTGTGCCATGAGATGAGAAAGGTTGAAAATCACTGCAGTTGGTCATCCTTAGAGGATGTTCCTTCACATTTCTGTGGTTCTTTGACATTCCAGAACCTCAAAGGAATTCTTAGATGAGGTTGGAATTTATAAGCCAGTATAATCAGTGCTGGTGTTTAAGAATCTTGTGCAGCTCTCTGGTTATGGCCCTCATTTTTGATACATTTCATTTTGTTACATGTTATTTTAACATAGTTTGAGAGAATACTGTTTCCTGCCTTGGTGGTGGTGACCTTTTCCTGGTATCTTCTTTATAGCTCAAGCTTCACCTGTGGCCTAGCAGGAGCCCTGGCTTCCAACCCTGTGGATGTTGTGAGAACACGGATGATGAATCAGAGAGTCCTTCGTGATGGCAGATGCTCTGGGAAAATAGGTACCCTGGATTGCTTGTTACAGGTGAGAATGAATGTCCATCTGTGTAGCATTGGGAATTCTTTTGTAGCTCATTAGTTTCTATCTGATCCTCTAATCATGAGTTTCTTATTATTTAAAAACACAGTGTTTATAGCAAGATAAATCTATGGATCTATCACTTATTATTATGTGACTTTGGTCAAGGTACAAACTCTATACTTCAGTTTCCTCATAAATAAAATGGGACAATAATAGCTCCTATATTACAGGGTTATTGTAAAGATAATTGAGATAATACCTACAAACGGCATTGTGCCTGGAATAATGTGGTAAACCTTGTTAGTGTAATTAATAATAAGGCACAGTATTGTGAAATAAGCAAATTTATTTTACTTAATCTTCGATATTCTGTTGGATTGCTTCAGTCAATGAAACTGCTCCCCAAATATATACATAGATACATATTTATATTTATATGTTATTTATTTATTTAACCTAAGAAGTATCTAAATGTTGAGGACTGTTATAACTAAGATAAATTTATAATTTATATAACTATAAAGCTCTGAGGCAGTACACAGTTTTCTCACACAGGCTAACTTTTATAAATACAAAATCTAAATGTTAGAAATGAAAGTTCATTTTCTTCATACCTTTGCTTTGCTGTGAAGGGTGAGAAAATAGTCATATTTTCTGGAATCATAGTAGAACTGTGTCTGTTTCTAAAATATATATCCTTTCTGTTGAGTCAAACTGTAATAAGTATCCTTCATTCAGACATCTTACAAAAGAACTTATCAATGGTACAGTAATTCTTAGTTTACATAGTTGGGCCTATGTCTCATCAGTGGACAGAAGTTTGCCGCTGACTCCCCTACTAAAAGTGCCAGCAGCCAAAGCTTAGGGACTGCTTTATGGTTTTCCTTTTCCCACATGGTGCTGGCAAATCTTAGACATCTAGTATTGCTTTAAGGAAGCAAAGATATTTATTTGTATTCATCCAACAGTATGAAATACTGATGGTCTGAATTTTATCTTCACCACCATTGTTTTGTTTCTTTATGTCTGAGTTGTTTGTGGGCCCAAATGGAAAAGAGGCAAAAATGATTGGAATTAAATCTCATTTCTTATTCATTCAGCTGCTGTTTGTCTGCTTTTGTGTGGGATAGTTTTACATAGAGCCTTGGTCCTTACCTTTGTGGAAGACTTTAAAGACCGAAAGAGGCATAAGGCAATGATTTCTTAGATAGTCCTTCCAAACAGGATTTAATTTTTAAGAAAAATAGATTGGTTCAGCTCAGATAATATTATTAATGCATTTGACATAATTGGAAATTTGGAAGTTAACTTTTCTTTCTCCTTATAACAGACATGGAAGAATGAAGGTTTTTTTGCTCTATATAAAGGGTTTTGGCCGAATTGGTTGAGACTTGGTCCTTGGAATATCATTGTATCCTTTTCTGTTGTTATAGATATGACAAAATATATAGCTAAAAGAATGTTTGTATAAACTATCGTGTTATTAATTATAATTTAGAAGTTGATTTTTAATCTTCTAAGTTCCTCTGATTCAAGAAATATCTGTTCAGTTTCCTTTTCAGGAGGTATAAAGTCTGTGTGCTAAGCACTGTGAATCTTGGTTTAATGGTGATGTTATTGAAAGATAATGATATCCATACAGATTTTTATTTAGACTCTGTCTTAAAGTTGAGAGTATTTAGGCTTTCAGAGAGAGGCGAGTTTGATTTTATATCCTCAGCCATCCTTAGGAGGGACATGTTTTGGCAGCAGTGTTCAAGAATGTTTATTTTAGAACAAGGCTCCCCAACCTCTGGGCTATGGCAATCAGGGCCTCTTAGGAACCAGTGGCACAGCAGGAGGTGAGCTTGAATGTAATGTGCTTGAAGTATCTGGAAACCATGCCCCTGCCCCTGCCCTGTCTGCCTGCAGAAAAATTGTCTTCCAGGAAACTGATCCCTGGTGCCAAAAAAGACTGGGGACTGCTGTTTTAGAGAGTGCCTAAGGATAAACAGTAATTAGCGCTAGAATTATTTGGCCAATCAGCACTATTTCTTATATGCCAAAGTGGGGGGTAAGAAAGAAATGACAGTTTATTAGACACAAAAGGGCAGAATTATAATGTAGGGAATGTTGGTTTCACCATCCTCTTGTTTATCTGTGCCCGCGTCCTATGGAAGTCTGCCTAGTGGAAACTTGAGGAGCACTTCCCAGGGCTGGTTGAGTTTCTCTTGTACATAGAATTTACTGTTCTGTAAAGTCACAGAAGCTAGGTAGTGTGCGTATAATCTTGAAAGAAGCTTTCTGAGCTAATGCTAGCGGATTTATATATCTTAGCTGTGATCTTTCTGTTCCAAACTGACTTTAGGAAGGCTAATGGGTAGACCTTTCAGGATGGTTAGGCTGAAGCCCTTCATATTTAGTCATGTTCATGGCATGTGGTCTGCCCAGATGTTCATAGATGTGCTATTTACAGGTATGTTTTTATGTGTTGGGGTTAAGATGGCATTTTCTTTGTCAGCCTTAACCTATAACTGTAGTTCTTTGTAACATACGAACAGTTGAAGAAATTGGATTTATGACAAGTCAAGGCTACATGACACATCCCTTTGAAAAATGCTAATTTCTACAACAGTAAAGCTTCCTGTGTTTCACACTGCTTCTCATTGCCTGGCTCGTCACAGATTCTGAGGTGTGAGCAACAGATGAAGACTGGGTTAGTTCAGACTGCTGTGTGTTGGTGTCAGACACTCTGTGTTGAATCTTTAATGACATAAACACTAGTCCTTACCATCAAAGTGCCCTTTGACATCAAAAATGACACGAAATGCATGTTATTTATTAAAGAAAACTTGTAAGAAGATCAGGAACCATATACTGTTTTCTTCAAGGGAGAGTTACACCTGCTGCATCTCAGGTCATAGCCAAGAGTACCAGACTCTAAAGAAAACTCACTGGAACATGGAATAGAGCCTCCAAGAGTGTATTATTGTTCTGGAACTTGGGGGATTTTGCTTCTTGTCAGCTGAAGAAATTTTATGCGTGGAGACCTGGACTTTTCAACCCTAGGAATAAATAGTGCAGGAAATAGATCCCTGCTTTATAACTGCTTTATTGCACTGCTTTATAACTTCCTATCTGGCAGGATTTTTCATTTACAATAAGTGATGTTAAGCCTTTGGAGACCTGACCTTTGTGAGGAATTATTACAAAGTATTAATATCTAAACTCATGATGGTGTGATATGTTGGCTATGAAGGTGGCAAGGTCTGTGTTGATGGGAGGTGTTTCAAGCAGCTTGGGTTCTGTCTTAGGTCATGCTAGTAATTTGCTCTATGATTTTTAGCAGAGTTTATTTCCCAATCTGGAAATGGAGATAATAACAGCTATGGAAGTTGAAGGTCAAATGAAGAAAATTTTAGTTGTTGCTACTTGTTTGGTAAGGGTGTTTGCCTTATGCTCTCATACAACTGTCATCCAAGAAGAAACATTCTGTGTGAATGAAAGAGTTGTTGTGTCATGACTACTCATCAGAATTCAGAGTGAAGCCCTTTGTTAAAGACCTGTGAGAAAGAGAGCACTGTATACGATAAGGTTTTATTATATTTTCCTCAGTAGAATGTTTCAAGGGAATCAAAGAGTGAAAGTCCAGTTTTCTCTGGTACTCTCTAGATGTGACTCTGGAGAGCTAAACTCATTTAGACCTTACTCCTGGAACTGAACCATATCTTCATAAAGAGGAAATTTTTTTTCTTCTTACCAAAACATTCCATGATGTGATAAGGGCTTTCTATAGAAAGGCTTTCACTTTTGAGTTCCTTGAGTTTAAAGAATTACTTCTTATGAACCACTCTTTTTTTTAAAATATATTTTATTGATTATGCCATTACATTTGTCCCATTTGCCCCCTTCATTCCCCTCCACCCTGCATACCCCTCCCCCATTCTCCCCCTTTAGTTCATGTCCATGTGTCACAAGTTCTTTAGCTTCTACATTTTCCATATTATTCTTGCCCTCCCCCCTATCTATTTTCTACCTCTCATCTATGCTATTTATTCTCTGTACCTTCTCCCCACTTCTCCTCCTCCCACTCCCCTGTTGTTAACCCTCCTTATGATCTCCTTTTCTAGGTTCTGCTCCTGATCTAGTTGTCTGCTTAGTTTGATTTTGTTTTAGGTGTGGTTGTTAATAACTGTGAGTTTGTTGTCCTTTCACTGTTCATGTTTCTTTAACTTCTTTTTCTTCGATAAGTCCCTTTAACATTTCATATAATAAGGGCTTGGTGATGATGAACTCCTTGAAGTTGATCTTATCTGAGAAGCACTTTATCTGTCCTTCCATTCTAAATGAGAGCTTTGCTGGATAGAGCAATCTAGGATGTAGGTCATTGCCATTTATGACTTGTAATACTTCTTTCCAGCCCCTTCTTGCCTGCAAGATCTCTTTTGAGAAATGAGCTGACAGTCTGATGGGAACTCCTTTGTAGGTCTCCTTATCTCTTGCTGCTTCTAGGATCCTCTTCTTCATTTTAATCTTGAGTAATGTACTTATGTGCGTTGGTGTGTTCCTCGTTGGGTCCAACTTCTTTGGGACTCTCTGAGCTTCCTGGACTTCCTGGAAGTCTATTTCTTTTGCCAGATTGGGGAAGTTCTCCTTTATTATTTGTTCAAATAAGTTTTCAATTTCTTGCTCTTCCTCTTCCCCTTCTCATACCCCTATGATTTGGATGCTGGAATGTTCAAAGATGTCCTGGAGGTTCCTAAGCCTCTCCTCATTGTTTAGAATTCTTGTTTCTTCATTCTTTTCTGTTTGGTCATTTCTTCCTTCCTTCTGGTCCACTCCATTGATTTGAGTCCCAGATTTTTTTCCATCACTATTGGTTCTCTGTGCAGTTTGCTTTATTTCACTTAGTGTAGCCTTCATTATTTCATCTAATTTGTGACTAAAATCCACCAGTTCAGTGAGCATCCTGATTACCGGTGTTTTGAACTGTGCATCTGATAGGTTGGCTATCTCTTGGTCACTTAGAAGTATTGGGTCTAGGTCTGGGGCTTTGAGCTGTTCTTCTGTTTGAGCCATAATGTTTTAGTCTGTTCGCGCCTGTTAAGTATGAGGGGCGAAAGCAAGCTTAGATGTTCACCAGGGTGAGTCAGCCCAGTTGCTGGGTTGTGACTGGGGGTGGGGTTAGAGGGGGAGCTATGGCGTTTTTTTCCGCTCTCTCTCAGATTTCGGTCTCCTCTGCTGCTTCCCACAAGCAAATTGGGCCCTTCTGGTGCTCGGTCCCCGGGTGGGTGGCCTTGTGTTCATTCTAGGACCCTGTAGATCTCTGCAACGAACTCTCCTGTGAGGCTAGGAGTCTCTCCTGGCACCCGGAAAGTTTTTCCAGTAGGTGCTTTTAGGCTTTATTTCCTGTTGCTGGGCCCCAGTCAGTGCTTTTAGGCTTTATTTCCAGTTGCTGGGGCCCTGCCTGTGTGGTCTGTCTCACTGACCGTTTTTAAACCTGCCTGGTTTCTCTGCATGCAAATGTGTGTCCACGGTCAGTCAGCCAGCCAGCCACCTGGCGAGCCTTACTGGGTTTTCCTCTGCGCCTGCCCGGGTCGCCAATTACCACCTCCTCCTGCTGGGACCCCTCTCCATCACCGCAGGCTTTGCCTCTCTTACCGGTCTGGATGAATAGGTTTATTGTTGTCTGATTTTGGTACAGTTTACTTTTCTGTCTGGTTGTGTTTTTGTTTCTAAATCTTTGTTGTCTTTAAATTTGGTTATGTGAGGAGGCACAACGTTTCCACCTATGCCTCCATCTTGGCCCTGAACCACTCTTTTTTTAAATGTAGAAAACATTTTATTTTTTAAGTGTACATATCATTTCTAAAAGTAAATGTCATGTAATATTCATTATATCAATTTATTAAAATTATATACCTGTTCATACCAAAATGAAAAGAAATTCAGACCTCAGTCTGAGTATGTTTTTAAGACAAAAATGCAGTATTTCTTTAAATACATTATAAAACAGGTATCTTAATGTGGTTTTTTTTTTCTTTGTGAAAGAGCAGTTGTTAAACCTTCTGACCAAGAAAGACCTTAATGACCTGAGAGAGTTGGTCCTCTGGTTTTGGGGGATGTGGCTGCATGTGTCTTGTACCCTTGGATATTGCTTAGGGAAAAGGATTTTTAGCTTTTATAACCAAAATGAAAAAAAATGGATTTTTTTGTTTGCTTATGGATTTCTATAATGATTAATGCTAAATGTTGCTGATCTGTAATATAAAAATGTTTTCTGTTCTCTGTATTTATTCTTGGGCTAGAAATAATATATATCTTAGAAATAGTCTTAGAAAGACTATAAAGTTTTTAAGCCTTTATAGTTAAACCTCTTTATTTAAACATTGTTGGACTGTGTAGCACCTTGATTCATTATTTAATAAACTGGAATAATATATAATTATAAAAATGATTTGTGGTTATTTCAGATAAGTAGGAACTTTTTTAGTTTTATTTTTAAAATATTTTATTTATTTATTTTTAGACAGAGGGGAAGGGAAGGAGAAAGAGAGAGAGAGAAACATCAGTGTGTGGTTGCCTCTTGTGCATCCCCTCCTGCGGAGCTGGCCTGTAACCCAGGCATGTGCTCTGACTGGGAATGGAACTGGCAACCCTTTGGTGCACAGGCTGGTACTCAATCCACTGAGCCACACCATTTAAACTAAGGTACTCACCAGAGAGTCCAGATCACTGGAGTAGAAGTAGCTTTGGTGAAAGTGGTTGCAGAGGTTTCTCTCTGCCTAGAGAATTTGTTGGGATCATCTTATTGCCTGGGTACCTGTGTGACTTCCCATTATTGAAAATATTCTGTGACTCAGTAGAGGCTAGTGCGTTTGCTTCATGGGTTGGGTTGGCAAGGTACCCTAAAGACTGAGAACACCAGTGGGATGACATCAATGCCCTGAACTTTCATATTCCCTCAGTCCTTCTTCCTGCATTTGATTTGTTGGCCTAAGGAAGGAGTTAGTGTCCGTGCTTAACTATAGACTAGGCAGGGATCCCTCTGGTTGGCATAAAAAAGCCAGTGGATGAAATACAAACATGGTTCATTATTTTTTTTAGTTGCCTGTTTTCTCAACATTCGAATTAAACAGTTTATTTAAAAAATAGAATTGGAAAAAAAGAGGGATACTTTTTGTTTCAGTTCTCCTACATAAGAGCTTAAATGACATAGTCATATGTGATTGGCTTTGTATGAAAGTCCGTAAATACAGCTGGCTGCTGGTGTGTCTCAGATGCCCAAACTGTAAACTTTCACTTGAATCATTGCACTTGTTAGACACATTTGGCTTTAAATCCAGGCTATTCATTGTTAAAGTGGTAGCTGGGAAAATCTGTAGGGTAAATTTTCAGTAGATTTTAAGTATATAATTTGGAAGCAAAGCATGGGAGTAAAAGACAAGGGCAAAGTATAAACCTGTTTCTCAAAAGCTTGGTGCAAATAATGAGGTCAAAAGTGCCAAGAGCAAAAAAAACTGGAAACAACGTTTATGTCTATATGTTCCCTCCTTATATAAACTGGCCCATCCATATAATGGCTTAATGTGTGGCACATGAGAAGAATGAGTTAAATCTCAGCCTGTTGACATGGAAGGATGTCCGTGATATATTATTATGTAGGAAAAAGTTGAGATGCAGATTCCTAAGTATATCATGAACTCATTTCTTAGGAAAAAAGCATACATTTATTAGGTAGGCAGTGGATTTAAAGGGTGTGCATTAGGGTTCTCTAGAGAAACACAACCAATAGGTCTGTCCAGAAAGTATCCAGCTAGCCATGTTATATGAAAAATAGACATTTATTGAAGAAGAAGATACAAGATATAAGAAACATTGTACACAGGACAGTGATGTCTCACTCCATTTCTTTTTAAAAAAAAATATTTATTTTCAGAGAGAGGGGAAGGGAAGGAGAAAGCATGGAAGAGAAACATCATTGTGTGGTTGCCTCTCATCTGTCCCCCACTGGGAACTGGCCCACAACCCAGGCATGTGCCCTGACTGGGAATTGAACCGTGATCCTTTGCTTCGCAGGCCTGGGCTCAATCCACTGAGCTACACCAGCTAGGGCTCACTCCCAGGGCTCACTCCCTTTCAAAGTAGGCATGTTGGGAATCTCACACAGTTCTCGCAGCATCTCTTCCACTGTTCAAAACACTCTGCAGAATCCTTTGTTGGAATCACCATCAACTGCCCCATTGTATTTTCCTGAATCTCATCAACAGTCTCAAGTCTCTTCCCTTTCAAAGGTGATTTTAGTTTTGGAAAAAGCCAGAAGTCACAGGGCACCAAATCTGGGCTGTGGGGAGGCTGAGTTACTTGGGCGATTTGATATTTTGCTAAAAACCTCTGCATGTTATGTGATGCGTGAGCAGGCGTGTTATGATGAAGCTGCCAATCACTAGTTGTCCATAGCTGTGTCCATTTTCATCTTATTGCAGAACATTTAGGTAGTACTCCTTTTTGTTTGGCCTAGAGGGGCGTACTCATGATGGACAATACCTTCCTGATAAAAAATCACAATTAATGTGGTCTTGATCTTGCTGCAACCTTGCCATGCCTTCTTCGGGTGTGGAGAACCAGGTGACTTTCATTGTGATGACTGGGCCTTTGTTTCTGGATCATAGCTGCAGACCCTTGATGCATTTCTGGTTGTGACCTTGAGGAAATCTGGTTCATGGGTAGCAATTTGAATGAAGTCATTAGCAACTGCAACACAATGTTCCTTCTGCTCTGATAGAAGCCACAGAATGAATTTTGTCACAACACATTTCATGCAGAGATCCCATGTCAAAATCTTGGACATGGTAGTTTTTGGAATCTCCAGATCAGTTTCTAGTTCTTGCACTGTCCGTCACTGATCTTTGTTGATTACAGCCCAGACATATCAACATTCTCAGGTGTTCTGCTTATTGCAGACCTTCCAGAATGTGGATCACTTACAATAGATTGTTGAGCGTCTTTGAAGCATTTGTACCACACTTTTATTTGCACTGCACTTACTGCATTGTCCCTAAAAGCCCTCCTCCTGGAGGAATGTTTCAAGCTTAATGGAAATTTTGATGCAAATTTTGCTCTACTCACTTGGTTTTGCTCTACTCAGTTGTTCTACTCGCTTGGTCATTTTGAATGTGACAGCCACACAGTACTCATGCTTACTCAATGGTGTCTACCGCCCCCACTGACTAGTACAGTGAAGTTATTGTTCACCTATGTGCATTCTAGTCCACTCTCCATGGCTTCAAGGTTACATTGATGAAACCATTTTTGTTTCATAACAAACTATTCTTGTTATGTAAACAATGGCTGGACTGTTACCAGAAAGACCTTGTGTATGATTCATTTTAAGAATAGGTTCCGGTGATTGTGAGGGACTTGCTAATATGAACCTGTAGTTCAGTAGGGCAGGTTAACAGACTAGAAACTCAGGCAGGATTTCTTTGTTACAGTCTTGAGTCAGAATTCTTCTCTGGGGAACTTTGTTCCCCCCCCCCCCTTTAAGTCCTTTAATTAGATGAAGCCCACCCACATTATGGAGTATAATCTTAAAATCAACTGATAGCAAATGTTATTCAACATCTATAGAATGCCTTTGTATTAACATCTGGACTAGTGTTTGCTGTGCAACTGGGCACTATAGCCTGGCCAAGTTGATACAAAATTTAACCATCACAGGGTGGAAAGAATTATTAATACTTTCTTTATGCAGAATTATGTTATATTGGTTCTAAAAGCTTATATTTTATAATTTAAAACAAAATCTTAAAAACAAAAAAAGGATGATCTTGGAATATAGGTGTCCAAGTTATGGTTAGTGGGGGGACATGGGAGCTGAAGTAAATATAATATACTATTTATTTTTAAATGATATAATATTTCTTTTTTTTAATTTAATTATTTTTTCAAGTACAGTTTTCTGTCTATTTCTCCCATCCCATCCATGATATAGTATTTCTAAAAGTATAGTGTCTATCAAACAAAATTGAGCTGAAAGAATAAATGGGAAACTTTTGCTCTTTATTTCAGTTTTTAATTATTTCTTATTCAGTGAACTTAATATTTTATAATTAAAAATTTCTAAGTATTGTTTTTGACAGTAGGGCAAACCTCTAGATAGAACACATCATATAGACTCTGTATCTACCCCGTGAACTCCTGGGGTGTTTTACACAATTCTTAGTCTCCTTCTGACAACACTACTTTCAAATTAAATTGTTTCATTGCATTATATGGTAGAGAGAGCTACATTTTCCCTTATGAGATTTTGCTTCATTAATTGTAATCTTGCAAATACTCATATATTTCTGGGAAGAGAGGCAGATCTTCATTGAATGTATGTGTGAAAGTTCTGGTGATTCTACACTTAAAAGGAATCCATATTTTAGAGCCAGGGTCACAAATTTCCAAGAACTCCTTAAGGCCACTGGCAACTTCATCTTGAATTGCATTAATACTCTAATTCGCTGCCCTATTTTGTGCTCTTTTTTTAAAAAATGAAGATTTTGAGACTTCTGCCAAGATGGAGGTATAGGTGGATGTGCCGTGCCTTCTCACACAACCAAGTTTAGGGACAACTAAATATTAGCAACAGAAATCACAGCACGAACACGGAAAATTGAACTTTTCGGAAGTCCGTTAACAACAAATTCTTCAGCCTGACCGGTAAGGGGCGAAACCAGTGGCTGCTGGAGCGGGGTTGCACAGGAGGACTCAGTCAGAGGGGCTCAGGCGCGGAATCCAGAAGCGGAATCCAGGCGCAGGGTTGGACCTAGTGAGCGACCCAGCGAGTGACCAGGCGAGTGACCGCGGAGGAGACAGCGGGGAAGCGGTGCTGCATGTTGACTGTGGTCGCCTATTTGTGCACGAGCGGACAGGCGAGGGAGTGGGCGGTTGGACCAGGGCCCGGTGTCCCCGCGGCAAGCGGCAGTAGAGGGCGCCGCCATTTCCCCGCTCTGACCACGCCCCCACATGCAGCGTCACAACCCAGCGACCTGGGAGTCCAAGGTGCCGCTTCTCACACTTACAGGCCCAGAACAGACCAAAAATGTAGCAAATTCTCACAGTCCCTGAGCCCATAGACCTAAGCGATGAAGAAATAGCAAAACTCTCAGACGCACAGTTTAAAACACTGGTCATCAGGATCCTCACAGAACTGGTTGATTATAGCCACAAATTAGAGAAACATATGAAGGCGAAACTAATTGAAATGAATGGAATTGCACAGGAAACCAATAGCGATGAAAGGGAAACTGGGACTCAAATCAATGGAGTGGACCAGAAGAAAGCAAATAATGGCCAAACAGAAGAGTCAGGAAGCAAGAATTCAAAGAAATGAGGAGAGTCTTAGGAACCTCCAGGACATCTTTAAACGCTCCAACATCCGAATTATAGGGGTACCAGAAAGGGGAAAGGCACAGCCACCAGTGGAAAACTTATTTGCACAAATAATAAAGGAAAATTTCCCCAATCTGGCAAAGGAAATAGACATCCAGGAAGTCCAGGAAGCTCAGAGAGTCCCAAAGAAGTTGGACCCAAGAAGGAACACACCAAGGCACATCATAATTATATTAGCCAAAATTAAAATGAAGGAGAGAATCCTAGAAGCAGCAAGAGCTAAGGGGACAGTCACCTACAAAGGAGTCCCCATCAGACTGTCAGCAGATTTCTCCAAAGAGACCTTACAGGCAACAAGGGGCTGGAAAGAGGTATTCCAAGTCATGAAATCCAAAGACCTACAACCAAGATTGCTCTATCCAGCAAAACTTTCATTTAGAATGGAAGGACAGATAAGGTGCTTCTCAGATAAGATCAAATTCAAGGAGTTCATCATCACCAAGCCCTTATTATATGAAATGTTAAAGGGACTTATCTAAGAAAAAGAAGTTAAAGAAACATGAACAGTGAAAGGACAACAAACTCACAGTTATTAACAACCACACCTAAAATGAAAGCAAACTAAAAGGACAGCTAGATCAGGAGTGGAAACATAGAAATGAAGATCTCAAGGAGGGTTAGCAACAGGGGAGTGGGAGGAGGAGAAGGGGGGAGAAGGTACAGAAAATAAGTAGCATAGACAGTAGATAGAAAATAGATGGGGGGCAAGAATAGTATGGGAAATATAGAATCTAAAGGACTTGAGACACATGGTCATAAAGTAAAGGGGGGTAATGGTGGGGATGGAGGGTAGGGTGGAGGGGAATGAAGGGGGAATAGAACAACTGTAACAGCATAATCAATTAAAAAAATAAAAAAAATAAAGATTTTATTTATTTATCTTTAGAAGGGAAGGGAAGGAGAGAGGGAGAGAAATATCAATGTATGGTTGCCTCCTGTGTGTCCCCTGCTGGGAACTGGCCTGTAACCCAGGCATGTGCCCTGACTGGGAATCAAACTGTGGTTGCTTGGTTCCCAGGCCTGCGCTCAATCCACTGAGCTACACCAGCCAGGTATTTTGTGCTTTTTAAACAGTAATTTGCACATAGTAGATAATGCAGTAAATACTTGTTGCATTAAATAGAAGCACCCTATTAAGATTTGCTCATTACTTCTGGGGTCCTTACATGGTAAGTATCGGTATTATCTTAAGGTCACAAGGAGTCAATGAGAATTGAAGTGAGAGTGCTACAGGTAACAGTCCTACTGATTGCTTTATTCACAAAGTTTCAGAGAAATCAAAACCTCCGTCAGCCTCTGTTCAGTTCAGGCTAAAAATTTTTTTTAAATTATGGTAAGATATACATAAATGCATCATTAAGCCACATTAAAGTGTATAGTTCTGTGGCATTAAGTACATTCACATTGTTGTCTAGCCATCACCATCATCCATCCAAAATTTTTGAGATGAATTGTTTTGAGTGGATCTTGGTCCTTAATTCATTAGCAATGCCTATGCTTGTTGCCCCATTACAGGCCCAAGCTGGAAGATAAGATCCCAGAACTTGCATTTGGGTACTTATTTCTTGGTAGTGTAATACACATATAATTTACCATCTTCACCATTTTTAAGTGTACAGTTTAATGGTATTAAATACAACATATGTTTACATTGTACAACCATGACCACCATCCATCCCTAAAACTTTTAATCTTGTAGAGCTGACATGCCATACCTAGTAAGCAATAACTTCTCATTCTCTCCTCCCCACAGTTCCTGGCAACTACCATTATACTTTCTGATTTTATGATTTTTGACTAATTTAGCTATCTCACACATATATTGTAGAATCATTCAGTATTTGTTTTTTTGTGACCGGCTTATTTACCTTTTCTACGAACATAGGGGAGTAGAGAAAGCTGATCTACAAAGAGAAGCTAAGGGTTCCTGCAGAGAGAAGAGACTGATGAGAAAGAGAGAGAGAGACCTAGAAAGAGGAGAAACAAGTCAGAGAGTCAGTCTGAGAAACAGAGCGTGTTGAGCATGACTGAGTTAGATTGAGAGAGAGCAAAAACCACTGGGTGTGAGAGAATAAGAGAATCCAAACCAGAGAGAGTGATGGCCTAGATTCTAATGGCTTTGCACTTTCTGACTGAGTCCTTCCTGATGTCTGCAGGCACCTCGGTGGAACCAAACACCTTCCTCCTCTACTCCTTGGCTCCTGCTGGTCCCTGTGCCGGAAACTCCGCCTATCTCTGCACTACCTCCAACTTGGCATGTCTAAGTTTTCTCAATCTTTCAAGACTGTTCTTGTCCTGACATCGCACTGACATTTTCCCCTATCATCCTCGCTGCTAGAGTCTCCAAACGAGCAGAGAACATTCTGCCTGGAGAACTTCCTTGGTTAGAATAATGCCCTCAAGACTCATCCATGTTGTAGTACATTACAAAATTTCTTGCCTAATTAAGGCTGAATAATAGTCTTATAGATATAGACTGCATTTTGCTTATCCATTCATTGTTTTTTAAATTATGTTTTATTGATTATGCTATTACAGTTGTCCCAATTTTCCCCCCTATCCCCCCCTCACCTGGCATCTCTATTCTCTTAGGCAATTCCCACATCTTTGTTTATGTCCATGGGCCATGCATATAATTTCTTTGGCTACTCTATTTCCTATACTGTACTCACATTCACATGGCTATTCTATAACTTCCCATATATACTTCTTAATTCCCTCACTACTTCATCCATTCTCCCACACCCCACCTCCCATCTGGCTACCATCAAAACACTCTCTGTATCCATGATTCTGTCTCTCTTCTTCTTGTTTACCTAGTTTGTGTTTTAGATTTGATTGTTTATATATATTTATTGCTATTTTATTGTTCATAGTTTTGATTTTCTTCTTTTTCTTAAATAAGTCCCTTTAACATAACATATAATAGTGGCTTTGTGACAATGAACTCCTTTAGTTTTTTTTGTTTGTTTGTTTGCGAAGCTTGCTTTCTGTCCTTCAATTCTAAATGATAGCTTTGCTGGGTAGAACAATCTTGGCTGTTGGTCCTTGCTTTTCATGACTTTGAATACTTCTTGCCAGTTCTGTCTAACCTGCAAGTTTCTTTTGAGAAAACAGCTGACAGTCTTATGGGAGATCACGTGTAGGTAACTAACTTCTTTTCTCTTGCTGCTTTTAAGAGTCTCTTTTTCTGTTTAACTTTTGGCATTTTAATTATGATGTGTCTTGGAGTGGCCTTCTTTGCTTCCATTTTGTTTGGGACTCTCTGTGCTTCCTGGACTTGCATGTCTATTTCCTTCACCCAATTAGGGAAGTTTTCTTTCACTATTTTTTCAAATAGATTTCCAATTTCTTCCTCTTTCTATTCCTATGGCACCCCTATGATGCAAATATTGGACATCTTGAAATTGTCCCAGAGGCTGCTTACACTATCCTGGTTTTTTAGATTCTTTTTTCTTCT